TCAAGTGGTAGAGCTCTGGTCTTGAGCTGAAGAGCTCAGGGACAGTGTCCAGGCTCAGAGTTCAAGCCCCACCACGGACAACAACAACAACAAAAATAGCCTATTTCAACAAGCTGGTCTTGGGACACAGACCCTTAAAAGGACTGGAAGACTTGTCAAGGCCTCCTGAATTGTGGCTTACAGCCATACTGGTTGGGTGCTCTTAGCATCCAGAATCAACTGTCTCCTGAACATTCTTCTCTCCTCCTCAGGTTTTCACTGCAGCTGCCCTCATCTCCATGATGGGCTGGCGATGCTGCTGCTTCAGCATGAGTGCTCCCTGTTGGAATGTAAGCACCAGATTCTCCCCTCCCCCTCCCCCTCCTCCCCCTCCTTCTCCTCCTCCTCCTTCTTGTATTTATATTTTTAGCAAGTACTTTTTATTTTATTTTCTGTCGGCTGTGGGGCCTGAACTCTGGGCCTGGACGCTGTCCCTCAGCTCTTCAGCTCACGGTTAGCACTGTACCACTTGAGCCACAGCACCATTTCCAGCTTTTTTGTTTATGTGATGCTGAGGAATCAAACCCAGGGCCTCATGCATGTGAGGCAAGCACTCTGCCACTGAGCCACTTTCCCAGCCCTGTAAGTGCTTATATTTTTAAAAATATCTATTACGTAGTTATACACAGGGTCTCAATTTCTTGGCTCTATCCAGGGAGCCCTCATCAGCTACCTATCAGTCATGATCTAAAGAATATGTTGGTAGCTTGGCACTGGTGGCTCACAGCTGTAATCTTAGCTACTCAAGAGTCTGAGATCTGAGGATTGAGGTTCAAAATCAACCAAGACAGGAACATTCTCAAGACTCTTAACTCCAATTAATCAACAAAAAAGCCAGAAGTGGAGGTGTGGCTCAAGAGGCAGAGTGCCATCCTTAAGCAAAAAAAGCTAAGGGACAGTGTCCAGGCTCTGAGTTCAAACCCCAGCATTGACACACACACACATAAAAAGGTGTGAGTAAAATTATCCACCTTCTCCATGACAGGGTAGGAGAATTCCTAGTGTCACAAGCAGGGTTAGACCTATCCAGATTATCCAACAAGCCACCTAACCGCAGCCTGTGTCAGCTGTTTCCTCTTGCCCCTGCAGATGCTCATTGCTCTGCTATCAAGTGTCCTGGCTTTGCTTGGAGCCTTGATTTCCTTTATCACCTCCGGAGTAGCATTGAAAGATGGTCCTTTCTGCATGTTTGATGTCTCGTCCTTCAATCAGACGCAAGCCTGGAAATATGGCTACCCTTTCAAAGACCTGTATAACAGGTATGTGAGTGGAGACTTGGACTTGCAGTCTTCAGAGACAAAATGGCACACAGATGGTCTAAAACTCTTCTGGTCACAGACGTTTGAATCTCATGCTTCTGAGGACCAAAATAATTTCCTAATCCTGGGATCTGAGCCAGGATGGCCTCTCCAATCTCCCTTCTTCCCTCCTTCCCTCCTTTCCTTTCCTTCCCTCTCTTTCATCTTTCCAGCTTTCGTTTCTTTCTTTTTCTTTCTCTCTTTCTTTCCTTCCTTCCCTCCATTCCTTCCTTCTCTCCATTCCTTCCTTCCTTCCCTCCATTCCTTCCTTCTCTCCATTCCTTCCTTCCTTCCCTCCCTTCCTTCCTTCCCTCCCTCCCTCTCTTCCTTCCCTTCCCTTCCTTCTTTCCTTCCTTCCCTTCCTCCCTTCCTTTCTTTCTTTCTTCCTCCCTCCCTTCCTCTTTCTTTCTTTTTTCTTTCTTTCTCTTTCTCTCTCTCTTTCCTTCCTTCCCTCCATTACTTCCTTCTTTCCATTCCTTCCTTCCTTCCCTCCATTCCTTCCTTCCCTCCCTTCCTTCCCTCCCTCCCTCCCTTCCTTCCCTTCCCTTCCTTCCTTCCTTCCCTCCCTTCTTTCTTTCCCTTTCACTTTCCTGGGGCCTGAACTCAGGACCTGAGTGCTGTCCCTGAGCTTTTCTGTTCAAGGCTAGCACTCTACCACTTGAGCCACAGGGCCACTTCTGGATTTTTGATGGTTAATTGGAGATAAGTGTCTCATGGACTTTCCTGCCTTAAGCTGGATTTGAATAGCAATCCTTAGATCCCAGCCTCCTGAATGGCTAAGATTACATGTGTGGACCACTGGTGTCTGGAAGCCCTCCCTTTCTATTGGGTTGCTTGTTTGGCTTTTCTTACTTGATTTTCCACCCCTGGCTTCCTTCTTTTTTTGGAATAGGAATTACCTGTATGACCGTTCGCTCTGGAGTTCTGTCTGTCTGGAGCCCTCTAAGGCTGTCATTTGGCATGTGTCCTTCTTCTCCATCCTGCTGGGCATCAGCCTCCTCCAGCTTCTCCTGGGGGTCATTCATTTCATCAACAGCCTCCTCAGCCTGTTCTGCAGCCTCTGTGAGAAGTGATGGTCATGCTGCGTCACACACTGCTGTTTGTGTCGGAGCTGCCTGGTACCCTTTCTGCAGGTAGTGGGAATGGAATTGCCAACAAGCTTCCCTTTTAGGTATTCCTGTAGGGATGATGACAATGATAATTCCTTGCATGTAGCATGAATTAAACAATGTATTTAAAATCACATTATATAAAATGAACAACAGTGAAAATGTATTAATGTTGTATAGGTATATTAATGTTGTAACAGATACTTACAAACAGCTTTTCCTAGCCAGGCACCAGTGTCATATGCCTGTAATGCTAGCTATTCAAGAGGTTTACCAGGTAAAAAAGTCTGTGAGATTCCATCTTGAAAAAGACCCCCCCCAAAAAAAATCCAGCAAAAAGCTGCTGAAGACACAGCTCAAGTGGTAGAACAATAGCTACGAGTAAGAAAATCAAAGGAGAGTTTGAGGCCCTGAGTTCAAGTCCTGGTAGCCTCAAGCAACAACATCTACTCTTTGAAAAAGCTCTGACTCCTTCCTTGGGCCCACAAATTAAATAAAAAGAAAAGGCTAGTCTCCATTTTGTATCTACTTTGCTTTGAGTCTCTCTCTTCTATAGTTACCTTAAATCCCAGAAAAGACAGGACTGATGGATAATATCTTTAGTCCAGGGCCAAAATGATTCCCAAGAAACAGCAGAAACTCACAGGCTAGCTTTACCTCCACGTGAGGAAGGGTGATGAGGGTGCACCCTGGAGCAGGAAAAATCATCTTGTGAGAGTCCAATTCCTCCCCTTAAGTGACAATGTTGCCAACAACTTTGCAACTCCTTATAGAATGGGGTGTGAAATAATGGTCAAGCAGGCCACATTCTGTCTGCCCTGGTCTGATGAATTATGCATACTTCACCCCAGCCTCAACTTTTCCTCTATGTAAATGGGTAACTCATGAGTTACCCACCTGAAGATGGGTTGAAGTGCTTTCCTTGCCACTTCTCATAGTGTGGACAGGCCATGTAATAAATCATTTTTCTCTTGCCCTTCACCTCTTGTCTCTTTATTTGATGTGTTAGGGCAAATGGGCAGACTCGCCCTACTGGAAACCCCAGAGTAGGTGCTCTGGCCTAGAATTCCAGTTACAAGGTATTCTCCAGCCATGATCTCATTTCAGCCCCTCAACAACCCCATCAAGAGCAGCATTGTTACAAATAGAGGAGTTGAGGCTCCTAGAAGATAATGAACTTGTTACTCCAAAGCATACAGGTAGGGCTAATATATATTCAGCACCTGATCTATTTTTAAATTCAAGTTCAATTAGTTGTTTTGTATTGAATTGCGTACTCTCGAATTCACAGAATGAAGCCCTAAACCCTAATATTGAAGATAGGGTTGTTAGCATGATAATAAAGATAAAAAGTGGCCACAAGTAGAATTCTGATCTGACAGGATTGGTATTGCTGGACCTAGGGCTTGAACTCTGGGCCTGAGTGTTATCCCTGATCTTCTTTTACTCAAGGTTGTACTCTACCACTTGAGCCACTGCATCACTTCTGGCTTTTTTTGAGTAGTTTATTGGAGGTAAGAGTTTCATGGAGGGCTGGGAAGGTGGTTCAGTAATAGAGTGCTTGCCTTGCATGCCTGAGGCCCTGGGTTCGATTCCTCAGCACTACATAAGCAAAAAGAAAAAAGCTGGAAGTGGCGCTGTGGCTCCAGTGGTAGAGCGCTAGCCTTGAGCTGAAGAGCTGAGGGACAGAGCCCAGGCCCAGAGTTCAGGCCCCACGACCGGACCCCCCCCCAAAAAAAAAGAGTTTCATGGACTGTTCTACCCAGGAGGGCTTTGAACCTCGATTCTCAAGTTTCAGCCTCCTGAGTAGCTAGGATTACAGGTGTGAGCCACCAGTACCTCCAGTGCCTGGGAGGATTGGTACACTTATAAGAAAAAAGAAGCTGGGCGCTGGTGGCTCAGGCCTGTAATCCTAGTTACTCAGGAGGCTGAGATCTGAGGATTATGCTTCCAAAGTCAGCCTGGGCAGGAAAAACCCATGAGACTCTTATCTCCAATTAAGTACCCCCCCAAAACAGAAGTGGAGCTGGGGCTGAAGTGGTAGAGCATTAGCCTTGAGTAAAAAAGCACACACAAAAAGTATATAGAGGCAATTTGCCAACTTACTTTCCCCATAAATACCATTGATGTCAGAGCAGTAATTGTGCGTTTTCAGCTCCCCACCTTCCCCCATCCCCTTCCTGGGGCTTGAACTCAGGGCTTAGACACACTGTCCCTGAGCTTTTGCTCAAGGCTAGCGCTCTACCACTTGAGCCACAGTGCCACTTCCGGCCTTTTCTGTTTATGTGGTACTGAAGAATCGAACCCAGGGCTTCATGCGTGCTAGGCAAGCACCCTACCACTAAGCCCTATTTCCAGCTCTGGAGCCACATTCCCTAACCACCAGGAGGAGCCTTTCTTTTCCGAGACCTCCCTGAAGCCATCACCAAGCCATCACCAACCACTTGAGGTAACAAACACAGCCAACAGAAGGAAGGTTATCAAGGGATGCCTGGATATTGGAGGATATTCTTTTCAATAGAGGCCAGGGCCTACAGACTTCTAACACAGGGCCAACGACAGGTGCTTTTTTACATATGGCCCTGCAATGTAGCCCAGGTTAGACTTTCATCCACATACACTCTGTTCCCACCTCTCCTCTGTCTGCACCAGGGCTTGAATTCGGGGTCTCTCACTTGGTTTTCCTGCTCAGCTGGTACTTCACTTCAGCCACGCCTCCTGCCCAACCTTTTACTGGTTCATTTTTCTGCACTGGCTGACTTAAAACCATGATCCTCTGGATGCCAGCTGAGTAGCTGGGTAGGTGTTAGCCAAAGGCACCAGATTTCGAATTCCTGTTTTCTCCTGCTTCAGCACCCCGAGTGCTTGGATTACAGGTCACCTATATGCACGTCCTTTGTTCATAAAAGGAAGAAAAAAAAAGGCATGCTAGGTTGGGTCTGCGGGAGACCCCTGGAATAGAGTATCTGGGGTCAAATGTCTTAAACTCTAAGCGCTTCAGGTTCCATGAGTATTTCTAAGAGATCAGGCGTGTTCCAGAGCTCCGTAGGCGCAACAAGGCCAAAGGCCTGGCATGAAGCACAGGCCGCCACTCCGGCCCTGCACCAGCTGCGCAGGCGCCGTGCAGGCCCAGTGAAGGCCCGCCGCTCCCCGAGTGGCTGCGAAACTCACAGCCGGGTCACGTGAGGACCAAGGGCGGGGCCTGTTTCCCTGGCGACGCCGCAACCGGCCGGGCCTTCCAGACGGTGTGCACCCGGCCTCGGCGTCCGGACCATGGCGAGTCGCCCGTCCTTCGCAGTGGGAGCATCCCTCTCTTTGACCGAAGGGGCGCCGGAGGCTGAGAAGAATGCAGCGGAGTCCGAGAACACATATATCCTGAGGCCCATTTTCCAGCAAAGGCGAGTAGTAGATGCGACGTGGCGAGGGGCGACCACGGGTTGTGGCGACTGGCACGCAGAGATTCCCGAGTTTGGACGGGGAGCGCGGGGGCTTGGGGCTGGGGTCGGGGGGTCAGGAGGTCAGAGGCGGGGTGGGGTGGGGCGGAGAGTGGGCGTGGCTACTGCCCGCAGGGCGTGGGGACTGGGCGGAGTCTGGGCGGGGCTAGACCCGGCAGAGAGCAGGGATGGGATGGACTGGGTGGAGTCAGTGCGTATGTGGGCGGGGTACTGGGCGGGGCTATTCCCGAGGGGAAGAGGAGGGGTGGAGTGGGCGGAGTCGGGTATGGAGGGGAGGGGGCGGGGCCGCCTCCGACCCGATGTCTGACTATCGGGCTGCAGGGGGCAGTAGAGGAGTGGGTCCCTGGTTAGGGTGCTACAGGAATGGTTGATCTCTAAGACAACGTTGGCAATGGGGAAGGGAAATGGATAGCGTAGAAGCAGAAAAAAATGCTTTTTGGGACGCAGTGTTCCTGGGGTTCTCATGTGCACATCTGTATCAGAATGCACGTAGTCTTGGCATTGGACCTGTATATATGTGTGCATCCTTTAGACTGCCATGCTGACACACTGTGGGAAGAGGGCAGACAGCTAGGTCTGTAGGATCTATCGCGACCTCTTTACAAGAGAAAAAGATTAAAAAAATAAACAACGCTCCAAGCTTGTCCTCTGTTGTTAGAAACCAGATAAGTATTAGAAACCAGGAACTTTGGTTGTTTGTAATAATCATTTCATACAGCACTTTTTTCATGAATAAAATGGACATAAAAGGCATCCGGCTGGGTTCTGGTGGCTCACACCTGTAATCCTAACTATTCAAGAGGCTGAGATCTGAGGGTCTTGATTTGAAGCCAGCAGGACAGTCCATGACAGCCATATCTACAATTACCCACCAAAAAGCGGGTTGAGGAGCTGTGACTCAAGTGGTTAGCCCTGAGCAAAAGGCAATGGGATAGTGCCCAGGCCCAGAGTTCAAGCCCCAGTATAAAAAAA